AAAACACGACGACAAAAATCTAAGAAATTACTAAAGCAATTTCTGAAGCTAAAAACCGACGAATTTCCACAAGAACACTTCACCATGCGCTTCATGAAGAAATGTACGTTCGTGTATTCCTTTAAAAAAGCCTCTCATTTTAGAAAAAAATTTGGAACATTCGACTCGAGTGGGCAATGGAAAGAAAGGAATTGGACTGTTGCAGACTGGAAGAAAGTCATATGGTCGGATGAATCTACTTTCTCTCAGTTGCGGTGGCGCTAAAAAAACGCAATCCTCAGCTTTCAAATGTTCACAAACTTGAGAAGGCAGCAAAAGAAGAGTGTAATGCGCTTCTGCAAAAAGTATATCGTAATTTGATACTATCTATGCCCAACCATATTCAAGCTGTGGTTGCTGCAAATGGAGGAAATACTAACTATTGACGTTCACTTTAAGTAAATAAAATTTTTGGGGGGTTTAATAAAAAAACTTCTTCAATATCATAAATATAAAAGTGTGCAATACTTTTGTCCCCCTCCCCCTGTAAACATGATTCGTTAACGATTATAATTAATAAACTTAAAACGGTTTTATTCTTCATGTACTATCGTTACGAGAACTTTTTAAATAACTTATAAATTGCATTTATTATTCTTTTATTCAAACAAATCAGTTTCAATAATAGATCGCTTGCAATAAGCTAACAAAGTTTTATGACCATAGTCTAACGATGTTTCGATGCATTAAATCCATATATCGATGTGTCGATCGTCGATTTCAGGGACGTTATGCAGGGTAAATCATGTTTATTTACAATATGGGACGGTTGGATTTCGTTTTATCGGTAATTAGATTTTTATTTGAAAACAAGAGTTGGAAACTCATTTACAGCTCTGAACCAAACGGCTTAATATTTTCAGCTGTGAGGAAAGGTCGGGTTTACTACCGCAGTATTTTATATCCAATAATAAATCGGACTTAGCGTAATACCAGAATTGCAAAATGATCTACATGAAATCTACTAAATAAATCGATAACGATCATTTTGCCGTTCACGCTCAAGCGCAGGCAGCACAAGCACAGGCTCAAATCATCAAAAATTTTCAGGCGAGATAGCTTAGTATCGATCTTGAAAGGATTTTGCGCTTGTATTCTGACATCACGATACATTATTTGTCATCCATGCATAGGAAATGGTTAACCCGCCATATAAACTATGGCTTCTTTTGGAAGAAGACCCAAGTCCAATCAAGTTCGGGTTCACCCAGGACGACGTGGGCATTGAAAATCCGGACTTGAGCGATCTCGCAGAAGTACTCTGTAATAAAAATGAGCGACTCAAAGAGCTCAAAGTTAGGCCAAACAAACTTGAATTTTTCGGTGAAGCGTCGTCCGGCGAGTGCTGCGGCACGGCAGTGCGCATGACGAGGGCGGTGACGAACCCCTTCGTCCCGGTATCCTCGTCGAACAATTGAAGACATCCGGCGGGTCTCCTCTCGTCGTCAGATATCTGCTGTCTAACAAACTGAGTAAGTCGATTTCTTTTCTTATTTCTCCGAGCTTCTGGTTTGAGCTCTTATTTTTGCATCCCTCTCGTGTAGTTGTTGCCTATGTGAAGCTGGAAAATGTTACCGCAAAACTTACCGTTCCACACAGTGCTATTGCTTAGCTTTTCCTGCTTTTAATTTTAAAGCTTAATCAAAATAAATGTTAAAATATGCCTCAGTAAACCTAATCTAACAATTCAGAAATTACAACAGCAATTTATTATGTCTGAACGTAATTTATTTAAATCTTGAAAGCTGTTATTTATATAAAAAATATTGCTAATGCATATCCAAACTTGAAATTCGTGAAGAATTGTTCCAAAAACATTACAAATAAGCTAACATGTGAAATAGGACGCTATGCCCTAACCTAAGATGTCTTGAAATTTTGTTTGTGGTGACCTCAGAGCAATTGCGTACTCTTGTCGGAATCTAGAATACCTTGATGTATCTATCAGAGAAGTTGCCTTCGTGTTCCAATTTAAAATATCCCTATTTGGAAACTTCGAAACTTTCAGTAAAAAGGCTATAAACCGACTTAAGCCAGATATTTATGTCAAACTTTATGAAAACCATATAATAATAAATGGTCAGATTCTGAATCAGACGGGTCTGAGATTAACAATTAATTTATATCAATTTATTGTTATACTATTATAGGTCAATATCGCCTATTACTATGCCACAAATCTTAATTAATAACAAGCTAAAACAATTTCCGATTATTGTAATCGTCTTCTCTGTCTTCTCTTGGACTTCCTACTCGATGTAACCGTAAGCGGTGGTAGCTCGTTTGTAGGCGTCGGAATAAATGGGGTCGGATTTTGTGAGGTCGCATGCCTAACAAATTTAATAAAGTATTATTAACAGATAAATTTTACATCAATAACCACTTGTATTATTAACGTTAAGTTGCTTTTTTTTTGTGTTAGTTACCCTATTGATTCCAGCATTGCTCTTATACCAGAACCAACAATTCCAGTAGCCCCATTATCACTAATAATTTGTTGGTATGTCTTCCCTGGTATATTATCAAAAATCATCAACCAGTTTTCTGTATTTTGGTATGTCTCTTTGTCTACATGCGATCCAGTGGAACCATTGCGGAACTCTGGGAAAGAAGTCTCGATCAAGATAGCATCTTGTGCCCCTTTTGGCCAAAATCCAATTGCCTTTGGCGTGACAAAATCTACAGTAGTGGGCAACTTAATATTGGCAGCAGCCGCTGTAATAGCATTATCTAGTTCCGCTTGAGAATTATATGTGGTGCCCTCAATAGCAACTTGAAGGGCATCTGTAAAATTACTTAAACGTTGACCATCCGCCATTCGGGCAAAAAAGGCATCGAAGATTGTTTCACGGATGGTGACGGTTTTTGGGAATACGTCCTCTGCGTGTGTAATAAGTGGGGTTACCGTATTTGCCATCCAAGGCCTCCAAAATGACGCAAAGCCTAGTCCGTGAACGAATTCATGCGTTATAGTAGCCACGAGATCATCTTGAGTCGGACCTATCGAAGCATCTCCGGGCAAGAAAAAATCAAACTTGCTGTTAAATGAGGCGATTATGTCATGTGACACGTAGGGTAGGCTACCCGTTTTATCAGCTATTTTTGCCAGTATCTGAGGATAAGCACGGATACGATTATCTTCACCAATCATGGAGAGAAAACGTGTTGGTGTTGCGGAACCAACTGCATTGGGATAGTGTAAAAAAAATATGTTGGGTTATAAAAATTTATGCACGTAAATATCTGCATTTTTATTATGGTTACTCACGAACAATTCCATTAGTACAAGATAGTGTCGCACATAAATCTGCAAATTCTGCCAAAACCTTAATCGGATTTGGGAATTTAAATACTGCAGTCAAAAATTCTCCTGCTTGTACAAAAGCTTGCTTCGCTTTTTGGCATTTTGATGCATCTATTGTTGAGTCACAGGTAAAATCTAGCTCGAATGCATTTGTTTGAGTTGCTGGAATGACTTCATACGTTGTGTTGAGCCCGTAAGAAACGATTAATTTAGATTGGACAGAACTATTTGTACAGTTAGTTCTCACAAATTTGATGCCTAGTGAGTCTGTTGGTTCGATACATTCATAAGACACCGAGGGAGAAGTCAGAAAAGCGATAACAAAAATTATGGTAAGATAAAGATGGGTAAGAGTAGGCGCAATCATGTTGAATTTTCAAGACCACACTCGATTACTAGTAAATAATGTGTGTTGTTGTTGTTGTTGTTGTTGTTGTTAGCTAGCCTAGATTACTTGTCGGCTCGCATCGAACTTTGAGCTGGATCAGGCTCTTAAATAATAATCTGTTCGTATTCTATTTTATTGTGATACTCTATTAGTACGGATAAAGGGTCATTTAGGAAAGAAACACGCAACAACCGCGGACAAGACATTTCCCCAATTGCTAATCCGTATACCAAAACCCGTTGCTCGACAAGTTATGCCCGAACACATTTCGGGATAGAATTTTCTGTTAGCTGCGCCCAATAGCGAGGCCAATAAATTTAACTTAGAACTTTGAAAAATTATGCTGAACACATCTGGATCCAATGCAAGGCCAATAAATTTAGACAGTAATTTGGTAACAAAATAAGCTAACTAAATTTGGAAATTGGTTTCTCTAGCCGATAGAGTTCGAACTGTGTGACAAGGGATCATAACGATGATGCACAGTTAAGGTAACTATACGACCACAATGTCACTGTATAAATTTAGTTAAATTCATAGACATTTTTAGCTTTACAATTATGTTGATCAAGTATGGCGTAAGACGTCATTCACTGCATGCACTCACGTATTTCTAGAAATGAAGGATTTACTATTACTATTACTAATTGTAATTAAAACGCAACCAATAGTTTTATTTGCGGTTATATGATATTAAATAATATATCAATATACTCAACTAGGATATATAGTATTTCTTGGGGGTGCGATTTAATTAAAAAATTGCGGACAGTAGATTATTAAAAATAAGATTTTTATGTATTTCATCGGGTAAGGCAATACAGTGGAATTACTATGTCTGATGAATGTGCAAGAGGAGCAGAATTATCTTCAGGGATGTGCATCGCTTGTGGCTACATTGCTGATAGATTAATCGAGGACTGTTTACTTTTTTCGAGTAAACATAAGATTAAAGAATGATAAGCAACCAAATAAGGATAACATGCAATGATGTATGGTACGCAGCAGTTGCTAGGTTCGGGCAAGCCCGAGCAGTATGAACATGTGATGCACGGAAATTGGGCAAAGTGAGACGATGCAGAATCTTGCGTAATGTGGCAGAAGGACGCCAATACGAGGAAGCATATCATTGTTTGCATTGACGCCATTGAAAACAATTTTGTTTGTGCCAAGAGGAAATTGATAAGACATTTTGATTAAGCTGTATATTGTTGATTTCTCTTTGGTGAATATGTTGTGACTGAGAGGACTGTCTCAATTCGGAACTCAGTTTTCTCAGTTCCGAACCCAGACACTCAGTCCAGAACTGAGACAGGTCCCCAACTGAGGTACAACAAATATATGAGAGAGCTATTTTGCTTATGTCGAAAAGTCTAAGATGGTTGATTGTTTATTGGGAACGGATTGACAATGTGATGGTATTACATCAACGTAGGAAAGATAGGCGCAAGTATGTTATTGTTATTGCTTTTATGGGAAAGCTATAATAAACTTTAAAATTTGGCAAAAATCGGACAATATGTATAACGATAATAATAGTACTACAAGAAATAATTCCCAAACTTGGACAATCGATATGTTGATAAGCAAATCAAAATTTTTATTCTTGAGAGGAAAAAAACAGCTGATGTCAATATACAAAAAACATTTCGACAATAATATTAGTTGTTGGGTGATGAAAATAATCGCATCAAGCGAATAGGACAAATTGGTTGTTGGATTAACTCGGTCACTTATTGGTTACCCCGATCACTAACCCGAGTGACTTTCGAATTTATCTGAATACTACATTTGTTTTCTAACTTCAAATAATGTCAAAGAACGGAGGGATACAAGAATTGCTTTGCCACATAATTGACAAGTTTTATCAAACTTTATCGTCAACATCTCTGCTAATTTTGGTTACATTCACTTTTTTTTACGTCCTTCTATGAACAGAATCGGTACAAGTGTTACCAACTCGGAACTCACCTACCTTTCCTCCAGCACGATCGAGCCAACCAGTTCCTCGTAATCAACAACTATTAAATCATGCATCATTGTAAAATTAGTATCTCGAGGCAATGCTTTATTTGCAAATGTAATTGGTACATTATAACACCAGCCGATTGCTTTAGTATCACATCTTCAAGGATTGGTGGGTTACTTGATTCGATCCAATACTATTTTGGGAGCCTGCATCTACAAAAACGTCTTGACCAAAATATCTGAAGAATATAGTGGAATGGCCATAATCATGGGTGACTCGTAAACAGATAGGTACCGATCCTTACCCCATGTAGAACGTAAAGTAGAACATCCGAGTCGAGTAAAAAGCTGTAAATAGAACGATAACCAATCTCCAACATGACATTTCGATGGAAAAAAATGACTGGCAATTCTAAGCCGGTGATTTATATTGATACCGATACTAAAAAAATTTTTGAATTGTCTGTCGTATTCTCTATTACAGTCGAACCCCGTTATACCGAAATGCGTTATACCGAATTTTCGCTATACCGAAGCAAGTGTTCCTCCCCCTTTT